GACTGCATTCTATTGTAAATTCAGATTGTTTTGTTGGCGTTGTGATCTTTCACATACTTCCATTTGTTTTTGTTTACAATAGTTGCGTTCGCGTACGCAAAAAACTTGCAAAGTAGGGGAAATTGAGAGAGCAAAGCGACTTTTCATTTTGAGGGGAAGCTCTTAGTTTCTGCTGGAAATACACCTGAACAAAAACAGCTGGTAGGAATGTACGCAAATCACAAATTTGAATTTTATGGTTTGGCAGTTAAAAATGATAAAATGTGACTAATTAAGCTCGTAAGAACTAAGTAGTTATTCGTTAAATCAATAAACTGTGTCAGGATAACACTTCAGCTGTTCATCTAACTTGCAATTTCTGCAAGAACAGGTATTTTTGTAAAAAAAATTTTAGTTTCACTAAAATTTTTGTATGTTATATGATGGAATTCCATCATAGCGTCATTATAATCACTTTGAGTCAATAGCTATAAATCTGGCTTATGTGAACCCTGTAGGGAAACGCGCTAGTGCTGAACTGGTTTGGTACTAAAGAATGTAGAACCATGACTAGTGCGCGATAATTCTTTTTTGTATACTAAAAATTGGCGAATTCAACATTATGATGCCCTACGAAGTGTCAATTACCGCCACTGCATCCCTTTTTCGATAGTTCCGAACCAGTCCTAAATTCGTGACCTTACATATATATACTACATAGAACGAAACGGAAATGGTTAGAAAATAAAATATGTAGGTAGTTCGGTCTTTTAGAAAGCGGAGCATTTGCGTCAAATTATAATTTTAGAAAAAGTGGACCTAGCTGCACCTTTTGATTCTTAGCTAGCGATTTGTATGTAGTTTTAAAAGGAATAATAAAATAGTTTTTTTTTTAATTACATTTCGCTGCTTCTGACTGCGTTTTTGGCGATAAAAAAGCTAATGCGGAACTAGAAATTTGGTTCACTAGTTCGGGGTTCTCTGTAGGGACACGAATTTCGATACGATACGATACCATATCGATGCTTTTGGCATTTGATACCGATATTTTCTACTCGATAGTTTTAAAACGATATTTTTTGGAATCGAGTACCAGAACCCTAGTATCGTATCGAATGTCATAAACTCACATTCCAACACTGAGGGAAAAAAATTTTAGAATTAGAAAAAACGTGCTAAATTGAAAAAAATACGCATATGAAAGAGCACCAACCCAACTCGTTTTAAATTTGAGTATATACGTTATCAAATATGTGGTTGTGAAGTGCACAGATACTTCTTCGTAATTAAGAAGAAAAAAATTAATTTTATGTTCCGTCTGATGGTAATTCAACCCGGACCCTCTTGGCCGCAACCAATTGTGTCAAGCGTCTTTGCACACTCAGCTACAGTCATACATGTAAAGGTGTTTTCAAATCTTGAGTTTGAATCAATATCACAGCGCGCGATTAGTGCATTATGTCATACCATGTATGTGTGTATGTGTTGTCACCGCTGTGCATGCTTTGTATACATATACTTTCTTAATTACATATGAAAAAGCATCCGAGACGTGCAAAACGCCATCCGTGTAGTGAAAAATGCTTCATTTTAATACGGGCGTATTTGAATTGAATATTTCCATTATATGTACGTAGTGTATGTATAATGGAAAAATCCATTTTGTTAAGACTTTTCACTTGATTTAAATACGAACATTTTTAACCGGTAATCAAGTAAAAAATTCGTATTCTTACAACGCGTTTTTGTTTTCTCAGTGAAGGATAATGGTATTAACAGTTCAACCTAATATTACCGGCGAGAGTTTTCCTACGCACGCACGCAAGTTTTTCTCATTTGATAAGCCCAAATCAATTTGCGTGCGTGATTTCTCAGAGTTGCATTTCTGTCAAATTTACAGAAGTTTGCCGAGAAAAATTTGAATTCATAGTCGCGCAAAAATGCCAATTGAGCATAAACGTCAAATCGAAATGTCACGCAAGACAAATCTTGGAATTTGAGTTAGCTTTTTACGCACGCATATAAGGTTGGCCTGTAACAATTCTTCCCGATATAAATTGGCCTTTAAAATGCAGAAATTTGTACTATGGTTAGGATTCCATGTGGTGGGATTTGAACCCGCGGGCTCGGTGTTTAAGTCAACACCTCAATATCTACGTGTTATAATAATAATAATAAAGCCCGGCGCTTACTCAATATGTTAGTGTTTGGCCGAACTTCTCCTCCGATTTGTCGCGTTGGCCTTAATGTTGTGGCACTAAGGGGGTGACTACAGTTTTATGTCGACTCTGAACGGCGATTATATTTTATGGGAAGCTGTTTTTCATTTTCAAGGTTTGCGCACTTCTAACCACTACACCCCAGCGGCCTATATGCGAGACCTATATTCAGATAAATTGTTTGGTTTTTGGTATCATACTTGGAATATCGAGTCTTTTTATTCCGATATTAATGGGTACCCGATATTTTTAAAACGATACTTTAAATGAGTACCATATCGATACTTTCGGTTCGATATCGTGTCCCTAGTTCCCTGCAGGCAATATGCATATGCACGTATGTGTGGTAAACACCAGGGTTGTTGCGAATATTATTCCGAAATAAAAGTCCTTTCCGGATAATAAACAAACCGCCTGTCCAAATTAAACAAATTTGGAATTAAATGAAAGAGGACTTAATTGGCTTTAAAACAGAAATGTCTAAACGAGGAAAGCCACATACTGAAAAATATTTCGATAAGAAATGTTAATTAATTACCATAGAACAAACTTTGTTTTAGGTATATGAATTTCTTCAGTACTAAATTATAAAAAAAATATAAATAAGGTCGTTCGTTATTTCTGTTTAAAAGCTATTTCAGTCCTCTTACATATAATACCAAACTTGTTTAATTTGGACAGGCGGTTTGTTTATTATCCGGAAAGGACTTTTATTTCAGAATAATATCCGCAACAACCCTGGTAAACACATACATATGTGTGTACATTCACATCTTTTTACATATATGTATGCAATTGGTGCACCAAGAAATTTATAAATAAGAAAAAAGCCAACCTAAAATGCGGAAACGCACAAATTTACTTCTGCTGATACTGAAGAACTGCCTAAAGAATCATATTTCTAGTATATTAAAAAAAAAAACGCTTAGTTTAGCAAACTCAAAATACTAAAATACTGAAATGCTTTAGCGTTGGAAACGGACGTGCATTATATAAAGCCGTATATTTTATTAAATCATTTCGGTACCATTTTCTTTGGTGCTATTTTTAAATATTGTAGTAAGCAGAATGTACGTTTATACAATGTAGTAGGTACATATTTATTTATTTGCTATTTTTAAGTATTCGTTAATCACGTTCGAGCATTTTATAATTTCTCTTTTGCTTGCTTTGCAGCTTGAAGGCCTCAAATATGTGGCCGATACACCACATTTTCCGGAAAATGAAGAACCCAATATCTTGGGCCATGGCACACCAGTGGTTGAAAAATCTGATCCATTGGTCACTGAAAAGCTGATGAAAGTGAAAACGCTGTTGGATTTTGAAGAAGTAAGTGTAGTGATTAAATTTACATTTATGATAATTAGTTTAAATTTATTCTAAAAAAAATTTATAAAGTTTTACCTAATTTATTGCAAATCAGTTACCTTTACATATGTTAATCAGTTATGACTAACACATATTACGCGGGGTAAGCTTTTTGAAGCTTTCTATAGATTTTACTCGTATGCACAGTGACTCACACAAGTGTTCATGTGTTGATTTTTTTTTGAAATATTCAAAACGTTTTTCAAGTTATTTTTTTATTGTTGTTATTTTTCTATAAAAGCCAATACCAAATAAATCAGAGTTTCAAGCTTTATACAAAATTTAGGAAAATTCGTCATATTTTCACTTCAAGCTTTTTAATCTTTAACCTTTACAACAATTTTGTGTATGCAGTTTTATAGCCCATACAGCCTTAGTCTCAGGAAGAGCAAGTTTAAAGCCTTTAAAAAAATCGCGTTGATTTTAAATTTTTTTTTGCAGATGGATTTTTGCTCATTTTCTCCATGTAATCATGAATTTCTTATGAAATAAAATGCGGAAGACCGTTCTCAGCGAAATGTCAAAAAATCAGCGCCAGTTTTCATAAATTGCACTTGTTATATAAAACAAACCGCAAAAGCAACTTTTTAGCCGGTTGAAACTTGCACTGAATCTAAGGCACTCCGCACATTAAGCTCCTAATCATAGTAGTGTAATCGTTTCGGCATACTAAAGTATAAAGCTTTTATGCCGAACACATGTATTTCAATGAAGCTCTGTACATTACGATTCAAAATCATGTTTTCGCCTAGTCATAAAAGCNAAACTACAAGCGTTTATGCAATATTTCGAAGCAGAAATATTTGCGGAAGTGCGTAGTTGCGAAAGAACGGCCAGAAAATTTGTTATGTGTAGAAAGTGTTTATTAGCTGGTGACTTATGCACGGCGTGCAAGTGTACAGAAGCCGAGTCGTCATGCATTCGTCTCGGCATGACGATACGATACTCTACTTTGATTAGGCGCCGTAATGTGCCGAGTGCCTAACTCGACCAATTAACAGAATAAGTTTAACTTTTATTTTTTTAAATCAAAGTAGCAGCCAAGTGAATTTTATTTTTATACCTACATATATTCGTATATTTTCGTGATAGCAAACAAATGGCAAGAGGTACAATGAATTCAGTAAAAAGCTTTACCCATTTACCGGACCTTTATTTATCTTGAATTTAGAGAGATTTTCTTTCGCCATATCCGACTGGTCTAAAATTTGCATTATTTATGAATCGTAACCCTATAAGTCAGCATATATGCATACCCTGACGATTTGACGACTCTATTTATCTATATTTTCCATACTAAAATTTCCAATTTTTTTTTATATAAAAATATAGTTCATTCAACAAATTTTAATTGAATTTTTTTCAATTCCTCTTCTGAGAAAACTCTGGACTATGTAGTTTTTTAGCCCAATATTACGGTTGATTTTTGAGAATTTTTTATTTTTTGCCGAGGGTGTTGCGCATTTTCTTCCATAAAACGCATGAAAACAATCTTTTTTATATGAAAGAAGTTGTCTGGTTAACACTAACTACAGGCAAACATCGTTACCGACGACATCGACACTTAATTCTGATTTCGAATAAAATACGAAATCTGTGAAGCTTATGCGTTATGTATGCTTATTTATGCGCATATCTACATATGATTACTTAAGCACATACATACATACATCCATCCATACATAGCTACTACGTAAATATGCAGGCCGGATGCACTTGATAGCAGAAAATATCTGTTGGCGGTTTGATCTCAACTGTTTTATAAGATTCTAGAGGAATTTTCCCTAGCTCCATCAAAAAAAAATCCATAAAAAAAAATAATTTAAACAAATGTATTATCAGTTAATGTAAATTAATGCAAAAAATGCCTAGTAGCCACATTAAATACTGATAGTAATTATTCAAATAAACTGTTTCAGTAGCCCTTAAGTTTTTATAATATTTTTTTGTTTCACTGTTCTGCGCCACAAAGTCAAAAGTCATTCACGCATTTAGTAATGGCAATTTAATTTACACAATTCACGTGTTGTTAGCACGAGCATTGACAGAGGAAATGCATGTTTATGAAGATGTATGTATATACGCATACATATGTAGTTTATGTGCTTATTTTATTACGCTGGTGGGCCAATAAGTCCGTGACTGTTTAAACGAAAGATCTTTTTTCGTCTTGAAAATAGTTTATATACAGTGACTCAAACAAGTGACTTCGTTTTAATTCTTTTTATATTCACAATGTTTTTTCTGGTTATTTTTCTTATTTTGCTATAAAATAATGGCCAAGGTTTACCCAAGACCATATAAATCAAAGCTTCAAACTTTATAGAAAATTTTGGAAAATTAAAAAAAAATGTGCATCAAAATTTCAAACCTTTTAATCTGAGACAGTGGAATATTTCTAGGTATGCATTTTTATAGCCCGTGGAATTTTAGTCCAATGAAGTGCAAGTTTCAAGCGTTGATTTTTTATATATTTTTTTTAAGTGACGGCTTTTGCGGTTTTTTAATGTAACAAGTGCAATTTAAAACAGGAAATGGACCGTAATTCCGTATGTAATGTAGCGATTAGAAGGGTATTATTTTCATTTATTTATTAACATGTAAAATAATGACGCTAGAAAAAAAAAAGCCGTAAAACCAAAAATGTAGATTTTTCGGTCAATAAAAAATCTTTCATGAGTTTTTTTCGAAAAAAATCTACAGTAAAGATATAAATTGCGAAAAACATTCGACCCCATTTTTTCCAAGATGAAGCCGATTTCATAACTATTCCACTATTTTTAAAATTTCTTTTACCTACTCAACAATAATCAAAATGATTTATGGACTTAAACAAAAATCGCCAGAGGTTTGCTAACAATCGACATTCAAATGTTAATGAAACGGTCCAATAAGTTGGAATATTATTCGTAATTGCCTTGTAAGCTGACAATAGCATAAATACAGTTTTATTGAAACTTAAAAATCGAAACTTAAGCATTCTTTTTATCTAGACAAACTTGAGGCAAATGAATACTTTAAATGTCAGATTCTGATTACAAAAAAAAAATCGAATAGTAGTGAGATTGCTGTGCCATTGGTCGTGCTATTGTGAAACTGTTTGTCGTCTGTCCATTGCAATAGAATTTTCAAGTTCGTGTACCGAATCACGCAGGCGTAAGGTAGGAGCTCTAAATCAGTCCCTTGTCAAGAGCTACTGTATCTCCATATCGTGAATGACATAGTAAAAAAGTACTACTAAAAAGTATACTATGCAAAAATAAAAATAAAAACAGCTGCAATTTTCTAAGCAAAACTGAGGCGATTCAGGCGTGAAAAAAATCTTTGCACCTGCCGAGTTCTAAGATCAGGGACCGCGAACAAAAGGTATGATCAAAACTAAGTGTCGTTCTCGTGGTTATGTTCCCAAGAAGCTTAAAAACCAAAAGCGAAATGAGAACAAAATTGGAATTATAAAACTGAATATTACCAAAGAGAATAAAATGGGAACAATATTTTTGGGAGCATTTCGAAGAGAAAAAAATGGGGACAAAAGTCTCCGAAACGTATTGGCAAAAAACAAAACGGAAACGATTTTTATCTCGAATAATAATTTGGAAACTAAACTCTACGGAACTTTCTGACTGTGAACGAAACGGGAACAAATCTTCTCTAAACTATTCGCCAAGGATGGAAGCGAGAACAAAATTTTTCACATAGCATTCATTAGTTTGAAATGTTTCAATATTAAAATTAATCAAAAAAGCACTGAAATATAATTATGGAAAATAAGTCAACGAAAGACTTAAGTCACAAACTTTTCTTGCAGAGAAACTGAACATTTTTTTCATAAATGGACAGTTCAATCTAATGATAAACGATCTTGATAAAGGATCTGAAAGTTGAAAAGATCCAGCTTTCCTCTTTCTTAGAATCAACAATCGTGGTTTTCACTGAAGCGCAGACGCACCTCCTCATTCTTAACGTTAAATTCTCAAGACTTTTGTTCTCGTTTAGTTATTTAGCAGAGATCTGTTACTTCTCAGCTTGAAAAGGTTGGCCACATCCCTTAATTGTAGCAATATCATAGTACTATGAATATACATATGCAGCATAAGATGATTAAACAATAAACAAACAAAAGTTCCTCAGAAATTGTTTCTTATTTGATTCTCCTTGAAAGTGCACTCCATACTTTCATTCTCATTGAAATCGTTCCCGAAAGTTTCGTTCTCATTCTGTTCTTCTTGCGAACATTCCGAGAGGTTTGTTCGCTTTTTGTTCCGTACGGAAACGTTCCCGAACCTTTTGCTCTCATTTCGTTCCCGTTCAAACTTTGTTCTGTTGTGGGAATCAATTTCGGCTTTGGAGCTCGTCCTTTCAGACCGAATACCCAACACCAGTGTCAGTGCGGCTCAACAACTTGTCCTTTTCGACCGAACACAGCCTACTAGATCAGCGTTGCCGTTTTGGTCCAATTGGACCAAAATTGATTGGTTCATTGTCCTTTGGTAGCTTGGTTGGTTTGATTAACCTTTTTGTAGGCCAAAATGTTTTGAAAATACAACCGATTTGAGCATTAAATTTGTTCGCTTAATTTACGTTTACACGTTCAAAACATTGCTTTCACTTTGTTCACACGTATTCGATTTCTTTGTTTTTTTATATTATTACATTAAACGAGCAATTCTTGTATATATATATGTACCATTCATTCCAGCGTATTTTGGAATAGGGCTGCCACCTAAATTTTGGAGTAAGAAATTTAATAAAATCTTGAAAACTTTAAAAAATATATGCATTCCCGGCAAAGCTCGGTCCACCTGGTGCTATTTTATTAAGCAGACAATTTTCTGCAAACAAAAACTAACTTCCCAATGCTATGATCGATCAGCTGTTAAAATAGAACAAGAAATTACTTATCGTCTTGAAAGAAAAATTGATGATAGGCAATTTGCTATGTGTGGGTGTATTGGTAAAAAATGCGAGTGTATGCAAATTGAAACGAATTTGGGAATTTTTTGATTGAAATGCATAAATGTCTGATTTTGTTTTTTCACGCACAAAAAAAAATGTTTGAATGAATCAAATTAATCTCAAAGATATTTACATTTTTTACAAAATATTTTTATGGAATAAGTAAATTCTTTTATTTAAAGGCACGAATTTGTTTTCTTTAACATTAAAAATTGTATGAATTGTTAACTAATACTATAAACAATAATATGTGTAGTTTTTATTTTGGCCGTTAATTTGTGCTGAAAATCCCGTAAATTCAAGAAATCTAGCTTTGATGATGAAAAAAAGTTTGGTAGTTTGCAAACTGATTTGGTAGGCGTTTTGGTACCTAATAATATTTTCAAGTGGCAACACTGTACTGGATTATTACTTAAATACAGAGAAGCGAAGGCGGTGCGGCTCTGGAATTCGTCCTTTCCGGCCACCTACCCAGCACATTATTCACCGATCCTGCTTCGGAATGTTGTCCATTCCGACAGCCGCAACAGCCGCAACAACTGCAATAAATATATATGTTACAAGTAATTTTCAAGCAAAAAAAACACCGACTTCAATTATCATATAAAAATATATGTATATTTCATGGTCCAATGATCGGATCTAAACCAGATTAGTATGGGACCACCTCTGAGACACTACCTTTCCGATGCAAAAATAATTATCGGTTGACGTGGTCCAAAGTTATGCGGTAACACACATAAAAAAAAATATTCCGACGAACTGATAACCTCCTACTTTTTTTGGAAGTCGGTTAAAAAAAGGAACAAACTACCATTGGCACGCGTTCTCGGTCCCTGTCTAAGATCAGCCAGAATCGAGTTTTGTTCATAACATTTTTTAGTAGGTATATAGCCCGATTTTAAAGTGTTACATACACATCGTTGAAAGAGTCTTTGAAATTTTTATGCATCATATAATTACCATGTTGACCTACATATGTACCTCGGTCAGTAAAAATAAATTATCTCAAACTCCACACGACCGAATTCGAATTTAGTTCATGATGTTAATCAACGGGATTTTTTAGACATACTGCCAAACAGATACAATACAGATTAAAAATTTGAAATTTTGATGAAAATTTGTTGAATTTTCCTAAATTTTGTATAAACTTTGAAACTGCTATTTATATGGTTTTGGTGAAAGCACGGAAGGTATTTTTATAGAAAATTAACAAAAAAAACTTTGCTCGAAAAACATTACGAATATTTCAAGAACATATGTGCATACATATGTACCTCGAAAGTCAATGAAATCTAAGAAAAGTTAAAGATACGAATTATAAATGAATGTACATATGTATGTGTATCAAATAATAAGAGCCTTGTAAGTGCATTCAATTTAAGTATTATGTAAAGCCGCATAAATGTTTTTAAATGTTAAGATATTCTTAAATACAAAAAAGCAACACGAATTTTATTTTGTTCAAACCCGAAAATTTCAACTCAATCCATGAAGGCAAGAAAGTCAAAGTAAATCAAGGTGAGCTTATTATCATTTTATTTTGGCTTGTCTTCAACATTGTCGTCGCACTGACCAAATGTTCAAATGTAAATATTGTATTGAAAAAATGACAATAACGAAAATATGTGTAGAAAAAACCACGCGCGCTACTAACAAGTCATCAACACCGCCAAATGAAGAGACTTCAACGACCTTTAGTGCGACATGCTAAAAAGTTTCAGTTCGGTTATGCTGCTTTGCTTCTTTTACTCCGTACTGTATTTGTTTTGAACTTTTTCTTACATACATACATACATATGTACATAAATATTTTTTCTTGGCATCGAATTGGCAAATTGTTGTTGGTTTCAGTGTATCCAATTATAAAGTATAATAGCGCTAAATGCAACAACAGCAATGCCAAAGTGTCAAATGCATTTGAAGGGAATTCAAATTACGATGCATTACATGTAAAAAAGCAATTGAATTTTGAAGGCGACACATGTATGTATCTATGTACATAAGCTTATGGTATATATGTACATACTTACGTGCTCATATTTGATATTTTGGAGGTCTATACATATGTACATATGAATGGTATACTTAAGCGTGCCCATCAAAACTTCTAATGTTATGTTCAAATTTTATTGAGGGATTCACAAGGTGCTAAAACATTTTTAAGTGATACAGAAACAACCTCAAAAAAGTTTTAAATGTTTTAAAATTTATTACTCTGGGCCAGTTTAAACTTAGATCACGTAAACTTCGTTTATTTATATTGAACAGCTGGCTGACATTTAATTGGCTAATCTTAGCTAAAAATAGCCGACTGGAGCGTTTAAACTAACTTTAAACCACAGTCGTGCACTGAAAAACTGACCCTTTATGACAATATGACCTTTACAACACCTTGTGCATCCCCTTAATCTATACTTGTGGTCAGCTGATTATGTTAAGTGACATGTTGACCAGTCTAGCGCATTACATAAACAGCACCTTATAAATGCGCATTTCGAACTTTCTTACAAAAATTATAAAAATTCAACAAAATTTAACAGTTACACCCCAGATATTTTAAGTATACATTTTGGTGGTACAAAGAATAACTCCACTAAAAATTTTGCCGATAGGTGGCGCACGAGTCGATATATTTGGTAAACATATATTTATGGTCCGATCTCGTTCATATTTAGAAAGCTTGCTTTAAAATTATTTGTTTTTACAATTAACTTTCATTTCAATCATTTAAATGGAAAAAAATACCGCCAGCAAAAAAAAATATTAAAAATCAAAGCGTCCTAAAATTTGCTTTTATGCTACAAAAGTTTAATGGGCTATAACACTGCCTACTTAAAATTTCTCAAAAAGTTCTGAATAAAAATTCTAACATTTTTGGGTGTAATTGGTAAGGTTTATTGAATTTTTAAAATTTTTGCCCGAAGTTTTAAATGCTGATATGGTGCTTGTTACGTAATGCATTGGACTCTTATAAAAAAGAATTATAAGCATTAAATAAAATAATAATAAATTACCGCTTACACATAGTGTTTGGCCGAGCTTCTCCTCCAGTTTGTGGCGTGTGCCTTGATATTGTCACACAATACAGTTTTAGGCCGAATCCGAATTGTATTCTTATGAGAAGCTGTTTTTCATGGCAGACTGCTGTTCGAAAAAAGCCTTTTTTTTAATAAACAAAAGAAAAAAGCTAAAACTGGTCAAAATGTCACTTAACTTAATCACCTGACCACAGGAGTATGTATAATAGGGTTGTCAAAAAAAAAATGCGCGAAAAAAGTTTCAAATGTTAAGCTCTCACCCGCTAGGAGTTTTCTAAATGGAAGAAAGAATACCCGTAGTTTTTTGTTAAAAAAAAAGTATGTTTAGAACTGCTTCAAAGCCCTTGAAGTTTTCCTTCTATTTTATATGGGAAAACACTTTTTCGTAGAAATGGTATAGAATTCTTGAAAATCAATATTTTTCCATCTCAGAACTCTATTTCTCTTAAGGAGACTTCCAATAACAATACTAAATTATTTAGTTAACCATCGTTAGTATTAAAATATGCAAAAATAAACAATTGGGTATTATTATTGGAGGTCTCCTTAGGAGAAGCCATCGAAAAATATAGATTTTCAAGAATTCTATGCCATTTCTACTAAAAGGTGCTTTTCCCCATATGAAATACAAGGAAATCGTCGGTTTCGAGGCAGTTCGGGGGTGTGAACTTAACATATTAAATTGTTTTTTGGACTACCCTAATGTACAATCATGTGATAAAAGCGAAACCTTCTGCTTTTGGGAGGCGTAATGCAATAATGCGTGCGTTTACATAGTTTGTACAGACATACCAACGTTGCATATGTACATACTTACATATTACTATTCTTTTTTTTCCGCAGGCCCCAGATCATCTTAAATTCAATCCTTACATTCGTCGAGGCTATCGCACATTCCTCTCCACAAAATTATGCCTGCAAAGCATCTTCTGGTGGACCAATGAAACTGTAAGACAAATCTAATGCCATAAATATGTACATACATATGTACTTACGAGTAAAATGTTAAGCACATACATAGGTACATATTTTCATAACTTAAATTTCTTGCAGATAAACATTTGGAGTCANCATTATATTTACATATGAGCATAGGATAGACATTTGGCCGAGGATCAGTGTGTATATACTTGCATATGGGTAAGAGCTTCTGAAATGTTGGAAACAACCAAAAGCCGCTTATTTTACTGAGATTTAGGTTAATAAAAAATTATAGTGCTTTATAAATGCGCATTGCTACCACATTTTGTATCACATAAAGTACTTCAATGACTCCTGCACTTAATTAAAAAAATACTAAACGTTGGTTGCTTTCCACTTTCAATATACTGCCCATTACCATAATCTGGCAACATCTGCCACCGTCTAAGTACAAGCCACTAGTTCTTGCCTGCCAGGGCTGGACAAGCTATAGGATAATAAGAGCCGGATACACCTACGGGTATATAACACAGTGTTACCTTGCCCATCACTGGCAAGAGTTGAAAAGTATTAAAATACGTAGAGCTTGGAGGTGATAAACCTATTAGAAACCGCCTTTCAAACCCCTATTTAAGGTTAATCCTGGCGCAGGTCAATTACGCTCACATCTTCTTGAAAAGCTGTAGGCTATTTGCCAATTGAAATAAAAAAGTTGAGCGCAGGGTCTTTACAAAATTACACCTGTTTTATCTTCCTTTCTTGACCTGCTTACGTATCAATGTACATTCCAGGAATCTAAAAGATGGAGTCGACTGATGACTATACGTTATATCCTACCTATTAACTTTGAGCTCAGACCTCATCTTCGATGAAACAGTCTTCTAAAGGCATATATGGGTCGTATGGGTTTTGTCTGAGTTTCAACTCAGCCTCTTCTTATCAAGGGTAATGGTTATATCAAGATGTTTCAGCTCATCAGAGTATTCAAGTAATGCTTCTCCATATCGTGGTTAACTTTAGTAAAAACAAACGTATTTAATATAGTTTTTTTCACCTTTCCGTAAACTACTGTTACATGGTAGGCAGTTTTACGCTATTTTAAACATTTTCGATATATATTCAGTAAGACTTAATAATCTTATGTATTTTTAAGAGATTGCTGTGAGTATTAACTCTGAGTAAATTAGCCTCTTTAAATTTCGAAACATCGAAGTTTCCGTATTTCTGAAATTCACAGTTAACCGACTTCAAAAAAAGGAGGAAAGAAATCAATTCCTCGAAATAATTTTAAGTTTTAAGTATGTATTTAAGTTTGTTTCTTACAAATTACTTGTTTTAGTAATTTGCTCTGTTCCGCCGAATTCTCGAATTAGTTTAAGGAGGAGCTTGGGCATTTACTAGGGTGTTCGATGATAATCTAATACTATAGTAAGTATAGCCGTTATATGGAAGAGAGCAAAGCAAAATAAGTTCAAAGCTTTTTTTTGGTTGTATGTATTCCATTTTTTCTGATTTTTTGAATTTGCTCTTGCCGCCGTAGCCGAGTGCTTAGAGATACCGAATGTCACTCGAGAGGTCCATGGTTCAATTTCTGGTCCAAGCACCATAAAAAAGTTTTTTTTTTTCAAACAACGGACGCCCGCTCAGACAATGGCAAAGCACCGAGTGTGCTTCTTTGGAGGTGGCGTCAAAGTGTAGATCTCCCTATTTGTGTCAAAATATTAGGAGGGAGAACACGATTTGGAGGAGAAGCTCGGCCAAACACGTGGAAAACGTTTAAGCGCCATTCATTTATTGAAATCATCCCCAAATAATCTAGGATATAATTTTAAAACTATTTAGGGGTTTCCCTTAACTGAAAAAGCCTAGAAAAGTTTGAAAAAACTCAAACTTTTATTGGGAGCACAAGATTTGTATGAAATGAAAAAACCAGTTTGCTCGATTAAAAAATACGGTTTTTTTTCGATATTCCAAAAATCGGTATTCCAAAAAAAAAACGCTTATAGATATTCAAAAAAACGGTGAAAGCATTTACCCGAGTGGAGGTAGGGAGCCTACCTGTCCACTCTATTCTAACTTTTTAAAAAGTTTTTGTGGTGAGAAGTAAAAAACCAATTGTGCTATCAACAACATTGATAACAAATTTTTCCTTAGAAACAAATTTTCTATTACGTAGTATTTATTTAGTACTACTGTGATCTTGTTTCCAGATTTCTTTCTCAGTCGGATAAAATTTTATTTAAGTTTTTGCTTCATTCAAATTTCAGACCCTCCGCATTATTTATTCTGTGATTGCTTTATG